GGAAACTAATAGTGATTGAAAAGACCGTTCCAGAGGAATGCTCTACAAAACTTGAAAGTCTAGATAAAAATGTAGTGTTGGAGGTGGGGGTGAAAACTGAGGAAGTAATGGATCATCCCAGAGGCTGATGGTGCAAAATAAAATTATAAGAAAACTGACCTTGAAAAAGAGGGCAGGAGCCAAGGGAGAACAAACTAACGACTGGGGAAAGGGAAGTCAATGAGGAGTTTAATGGTGAATATCAACACCTACTAGGCTGTCTCATGCCCACCTGGCATACACCTTTGAAACTGTGTGATGCTTGACAAAAGCATCACCCAGGAAGAAGGCTCTGGTCAAATGGGTTGGGGCTGGGATGGGAGACCAGAAAACAAAAAACAAAAACCAACAACAACCCAAGTTGGAGAAATGGTAAGATTAATCTTTTAGAGATTGGAAAAAAAAAGTATGAAAAAGCAAGGACTAAAAGTAAATGAACAAATAAATTAAAACTGTAAATGAAAGGAAACGAACTACTAAATAGGGAGAAAGAACAGGTCTCAACAGAAAAAGGCAGCTCAGGTTGAATTGAAGTGAATCTACACCTAAAGAGAGCAAGAGTGGAAATATATGCTCTAATAAGAGGAGATTGTTTCATTTAAACATCCACCTATTTTTTTCCCCCTGCTTTTGGTCCTTATATTGAAGAAACTTCTAGCCATGTTATCCCTTCTCACCCTCAAACATTAGCAAAGCATCCACAGAATACAAAGACAGAGATGACCCAAACTTCCATGTTTATCTAAGTTTCCAGTGTTTCTTTTATCTTAATGTCCTGGGTGCTTTAATGTTAAGAAATGAAGGAACTCCGTCTCCTGAACACAGGTGAGACCTTTTCTGGTCTGATTCATAGTGGACCTGCTGCCTCCATTGCTGTCTTGCATAAGGAGGAAGGTTCCAAAACCACACAATTTTCTGAAAATTTCATGGGAAGAGGAGAAAGGAGAAGAGGTGAAGTTCATGGTGAGTTTTTCACCAAAGGAATTTCCTTTCCTAAATTCTACTGTAGGAGTGAGAGTAAACATTCGTTGATATATCCCACTCTCCCAATTATTTTCCATTGCCCAAATTTTAAAAGCTTGTGCCACCCACACTGATGGAGGAACAGATGGTTTTTGCTCATGCTATTTCCCCTGCCCTGAACAGAAGCTGCCTTCTGTTGATATCACAACCAAAAGCCTTGCACCATCTGCACAGAGTCTTCCTCAATTCCCCAGCAAAATTCATCTGTCTTGCTTCGTTATAGTTCTCTCATATGGGAAAGTAACATTTGTTGGTACCTTGTACTATAATCTAGTAAGCTTTCAAGAAACATTATCTCCCTAAATCCTTGAGGGATTATTATGTCTGATATAAAACAAGAAACCCATGACTCAGAGAAGTTGCCATTTGCCCAAGACCACAGCGGGTCCTGGGTAATGAATGGATGGAGATGCCTTAACATTGTGGTGCCTGAAAAATATAAGCATCTTCTATCAGCTGGAATCAAACAATCCCCACAAACAAATCTTTTAAGCACTTAGTTTACTTTTGTTATGTTTTTAAAGCGATCCTTACTGTTCTGCTGTATTTCTAGTCCTTAATACAGTACTTGGCATCAGATACAGGCCCCTAAATATTTGTTGGATGAGTCGGTGCTTCGTATATGGTAGCCATTATTTAGAATCTTACTTGACTCTGGTTTCATACAAAAAGTTCTCTTTGGGTTCAAAGCAGGTCTAAATAATCACGCTGTTGTTAGTTTTGAGAAATGTCTATTTATTTATTTATTTGTTTGTTTATCTATATATCTGTTTATTTATTTATTTAAGCTTCTTCTGTAAAATGGGAATAACTGTCCCTGCCTCACTGGGTTGTTGTGAGGATTTAATGAGCTAGTAATGTGACCTGTGGGACACTGTGTCAGGCTCAGGCCCTCATCAATGCTGACTAGTAATAATTCTAATTATTATAGGCCAGATAGTCTTGTACACATGATATAAGGAAGTGTTTTCCCCATGCCAATCTGAACCACCATAATTTGGAGGTTCTGATGCAGCCTGGTGTTCTCCTCCACGCCCCCCATCCCTGATCCCCAGGGAAGCTACAAGGGAAACCTAACTCCCAGGGGAAAGTTGAGCTGCCAGAGAGGTGGCAGCAGGTGGAAAACAATCTGCATTACAGAGGGTGCCGGGCAGCGAGGCCCCAAGTGCACCCCTTGAGATCTGACCCCTATTCCGGACTTGCGCTCTGGGCTCGGCTCCTGAGGAGCAGGCAGAGGGCAACAGGGCTCGCAGGCGAGGAGGACGTGGGGGTCGGCGCCGCCAGGGGCGGTTGGTGGGGCGCGCTCCAAACTTAGCCGTGGGTTACCCAAGAGTCCTAGATGTCAGGGCAGCTGCTGAGCTCTGCCCAGGCCAGCGAGTCCAACTGGCCCCTCCTCCGTAACTTTCCTGGTGCCGTCACACCGCGTGTGTGTCTAGAGTCTGCAGGAGCAGGTTCCAGAAGGCGACGCCTGAGCAGTCGCGCCCCGCCTGCCCTCTGCTAGCCGGCAGGTTTCGGGCAAGTGCGGCCTGATCCCCTGTGTTCCCGGTTGGGATGCCTCTGCTTCCCATCTTGGGCCAGAGGTAGTGATGGATGTGTGAGATGCTGATTTGGGGTGATTTCAGAACACCCGGTGTGTGTGCGTCTCCAGGTTCATGGATGGAAAGGGCTTCAGCGGGGACCCTGCGTTTGAATGTTTTGTAGGACATTTCCATTCCTCAGTTCCCCAAAGGGCTACATAGTTGGTGTAGGGTTTCTTTTGTTTGGGGATGCTGGTGTGTGTGTGTGTGTGTGTGTGTGTGTGTGTGTGTGTGTATCTGTTTATTCTTAATGGGAAGTCTATGGGACTTCAATCCTTCGCTTTTTTTTCTCCTAAAACAGTCTTTGAAAATGTTAAAAATTGATTTTTTTCACTTGAAGCTCTATTTAATTAACCTATGGATATTACATAATATTATAATATACACAGTAGCATATACATTGTGGTAAATGTTTCTTGGCTCTCTACCTCTCAAGCAGAGCATGTTTTGATCCTTGAAAAAAATCCCTATTTTAATAACACCAAATTTTCTTGGAATTTTTTTTTTTCGAAAAGTTAAGGCAAGTATACTAATGAACTTCAGTTTTTAAAAGTGGACAAATTTAAACTAAAAAAAAAAAAGTCACCAAATTAATGGATACTGTTTATGGCTGAGTTTTCAGAGAACAACTTTGCGGTATCTGCAGGGTTGTCTTCAAAGTTCTGATCTTAATCTTGAAAGGGTTAAAAATCTACTAGATCATATTCATATCTCAGAATAACTGACCCATAATACACTGCCAATCTGTCCTAGAGTGTTTAGAATCAAGTAGCTTAAATTCAATGGAAAAAAAGTTAAAATACTTGGTATCACATTACATCTGTTTAGATGAGCTGMAAGTAAATCATTTTCTAACCTTTTAGAAGATGAAAAGTTTAGTGACTACTATTTACACTCTTTGAATATTTTATATTTGAATGGTCATCACAGTTTACACAAATGATTGTATATATCTATTTCAAATAAACAAATATCAAAGAATCTGTGTTATGTGATGGTTAACATTTCAAGCTTTTCTATAAAGAGGACTTTATACAAAACTGCAGTGATTACTGAGTATTGTCAAAAAGTCATTTAGAGCTTTTGGAAATAAAATTATTAGGGGCAGCTTAAGAGAAATAAGGTAATGAATCATAATTTTTACATTTTATGCAGTGAAAATTAAAGTCTTAATTATCACTCACATGAAATAGTTAAATTTTTGTTTTTGTTTTAAACATAGATTTTTAGAGCATTTGAAAAAATCCTTATAGGTTTGTTAAAACCTTTAGCAGAAGATTACAGTCAACGTTTTGTCTTTGGTGAATAGCTGTTTGTCTCACTTTATTTACTTGGTATTGGATATTTGTCAATGTCATTTCATATCTACAGAAAATTCTTACGCTCTATGGAGGTAGTGAATGTGTGTGTGCTTGTCTGCCGGAGGTCACATGACGGTTTCATCCTATTTGGTGGAGCAGCTTGACTTTTTTTCCCCTTGCTTTTGGTGATGGTTGTGAGTGCAGAAGTTGATTGACAGATGCATGCCAGAAACCCCCATTCTCCTTTTCAAAGACAACATATGATGGATTGCGATCTCTCAGCGCAGCAGGACACGGGGACCATGCAAGCTGTAATTGGTCAGGTATGGAGTCAGCCATTTCTCAACTCCCCTTTTTTCCACAAGGGTCTCACCATATGATTCACATAATTCATATTTACTGTACCATCTTTCTATCTGTATCTTCAGCTACCTGCCAGTGTAGTGCTGAAAGTGCGAAAGGCAAAAGGCACCCATTAAATCTGGCCAGCAAACCTCAGTTTAAAACTTCAATGCGGTGCTCTTAAACAAAAACTAAAACAACAACAACAACAACAACAAAAATTGAAGAACATATCTAATTATGATTTGGTCTGAATGTTTTAAAAAAATCCATTCCTAAGAATTTATTTATTTTTCTGTTTAGATTATGATCTCTGAAAGAAATAAAGTATGAGAAGAGAATAAAGTGTTATATGTTTCCAAGGTAGTTGTTAAAATTTTTTTCTAGTGCTATTCAGTATTTTTATTTGGTCTATATTCTTCTCTCTCCTTCTCCCCATATGGAAAATGTAAATATAGAAATACAAGTGCCTTTACTTCTAACCCCGATAATGTGTGATAGAGCCTGGTAAATGTAGTAGTAGTAGTCGTCTTGGCTGCTGCAGGGGGACAGGCTGCAAATTAAACACTGCCACAATCTGAAAGGTCCAGGTGGTCCGCTCGCGGTTCCTAATGCAATCCAGCACAACAGCTTTAATAAACAGCTCTATTTAGTTCCTCCTCCTCGTATCCTGGGAGGTGAACTGGTCTGGGGCTGCTGTGATGAAATGCCAGAAGAATCTCTCTCAGAGGCCTCACAAGCTGATTTTTAGAGCTTTCCTGTTCTGTCGTCTTTGTCTTCCAAATGGGTCAGTGAGTCCTACTCTCTCTGCTTGGTGCTTTCTGTTCAATCGGTAGTTTATGTTTGTGTTTAAATGTTTGCGTTGTAAGCTAAATGAGAAGAGGAAAGGATCATTGTATTTTCATTTGCCTTCCAATAACTGAAGTGGTGAAAGGAATGATAGTACCCTGCTGCAGAGGGAGGCTGATTTTTCTGACTATGATGGGGGTGGGGTGAAGAAAAAAGGAATATATATATGGTGTAGTGGGTATTTGTTTTGGGGAGGTAATTTTTTTTTTTTACTAAAATTTCCCTGAGTTACCCATGCTTGCTTAAGAATTCTGATTTAACTCATAAATCAGAATATGGTTACGAATATTTATGAACTCTTAAAAGTTTTTTTATTTTTATTTTTTGCACACTTTCCAATCAAGACAAGCTGGCAAGGTGATGACATAAAATGTGTTTGCTGTATATTAATAGCATGGTGGAAAATATACCATCTTACTCTGTTTTCAACAAAATTATAGCAAAGCACTTCAGGGTTTTGAAAGCACATGGTTTATTAATACCAGCATGCCTCATAATGTATTTTTAGATGGAAAATGTCAGATATATAATACCATGTTTCCACAGGCTCACTCTATTTTTTAAAAAAGTACATGTTTGCTTCAACAGAAAAAATATTTTTTAAAACTTTCAAGTTGTTTTTTGTTCTACTGGCATATATAAAAGGAAGTCTCTCGGCATACATTTGTCAGGAGAAAATATGCAAAGTGATTTTATACACTGTCAGTACCTGCTTCAGTCATTATACGTGTTCCTTGATGAGTACATCTATCAGATAGAGCTAAATAATTTTGGCATAGGGAATTATATTACTATCTTTTAAAGTAGTGACCTTTTTGTGTACAAATAAAACTTGAGCCCCTGACTGTCCTGTGCTGTTTAATAAAACTTTTTTCTTCGATTACATCTCTATTCTGTAATAATATAAATAATACTACTTAATACTATGCTAAATTGTTCTGCTTTAGTCCCAAATAAGAGATAGAATTTCCTTTTGTGTATATTTCTGGTGAAAAATCAGGGGAGACACTTCTAGTCTATTATTCAAAATTGTTTATTGGAAATCATCTGTAAAGGTGTAGAGTTTTAAATGGTTCTGGCATACACTTTTTAAAAGGAATTGGTTTATATTTTACAGATGCTACACTTATAGTTTGTTAGAATTTAAAATCAGTTGTTATTATTACATAGTTCTGTATTTTGTATGCTCTCAATCATTTTTTAAACTTCTCTATGCCCAGGAACTATATATGCTAATAACTTGTAATGAATACTCAGTAACTATTTGCATTAAAGTAGCCACATGTTTTCTGATGTCATTTCTTATAAATTATTTGCTTAAAAATATACTTATTGTCACATTAGTAAATTATAAAAGCAATTTTCCTGAAGATTGTTATGATATCTGTGTTAAAAATATACACACTAAAATGCTTAATTTTAATTTTTGTTTGAAATTGGAAGGAAGGAAAAATATTGTATTGTCTTACATATATACCATGAAAGTCAGAATATCTAAATGGAGCCCATATCAATAAGCACAAAAAGAAAAGTGATATACCTGCTTGAAATTAATTTATTTTAATTGTTACAACACAGATAAGAACATTTATTCAAATGATTACTCCTAATAATAAGGAAAAGAAAGAGAAAATAATTTTTATTGCTTTATGATCACCCATAATCAGAAAGAGATTGTTTCTTTTTCAACTCTTGACTTTAATACCCTCTTATACTTACTCAGCAGGGGTGGACAGTCCCATTTGATCATGCAAATGTTTGTGTTGGCTCCTTTTCCAATACATACTAAAATAATAATGTTTTTTGTTCTTTTTTATCACCTGTCTCTGAGTCCTGTTCCTAGACAGCTTTGAGTTGGAGAAGCAAATAACCACTTTGCAGTTCTAGTTTCCATTCAGAATACTGAAAGATTCCCATGAAATATGATCTTTAGATTTTTTTTTCATTCACCTCTAGGATCAAATATCTACAGTTCCCTCCACTGGAGGGAAGAGCAGACTTTTCTGTGTTGCTGGCCATGATCCAGCTGGGGAGAGAGTACTGGCTTCACAGAGTAGATATTGCTCATATATGCCTTTCCCCCAGGATTTTCCCTCCCTCCAGCAAGCAATTAAGCAGTCTAGTACTCCAAAGAACAAACTCCCTGCCTAGTATATCAAGATCAAGAAACTTGGTACATTCAAACAGTTTTTGGAAATCAAACTGGATTTTTGATAGCAGTTATCTGTAGCAAGCTTCCTAACCCCTTGAACCACGGGATGGATTGTTATCCTTCAGATGATTTTCAAATCAATTCAAACAATTAAGGAACTTCTGAGCCATGGGTTTGAATATCATTTAAAAATGAAGGTTTGCATTTCCACCTCGCCTGGTCATTAAATGTTTACTGGATGTTTTCATTTTGGGGGACCTGAGCTTGTGAGTGACAGATTAGTTCATCAGTATTGCAGACCTCCTATTTTTTTTTCTCACCTCATGCAGACAGGTCACTATGTCCAGTACTCCTTCTGGCACTTTGGTCCCCAGGGGACCTGGCCAGCCTACAATTCCTGATGTGCAGACTTGAGGGTCTGGGATGGCTGCATAGTCTACACTCTTATTTATAGTCTGACTTTTGTAAATGTTCCAGAACAGAGGATGTTAAATTAGGTGTTAATAAAAACTATAGATGAGAAAAATCAGATAAAAATATGAAGTATATATAAGCGTTTGCTAGGAATGGGAGAGACACTATTGGATCAAAGTGCTTATGGGTGCACTTCCAGTGACATTGCTAAATACTGGTAGAAAATCAAAGATGCCAACATTTCATATTCTAATGGAATTAGAAGTTCCATTAGAATCAAGAGTATTTCAATTGTCCCTACCTGTAAAATGGATCTTTTTCCCCAGTTAAATGTACACAATTTAAAGCACTTTACATTTGTGCATTATAAATGTAATGCAAATGTCCAAAGTGCTCCCTAAGTGTTAATGGTTCAGAGGGGACTGTGGGTAACTGAAGGTACATATGGCGTACAACAGAATAAAACTCCTGTTTTTTTTATGTGTTTTGATGTCAAAATGCAAAAATATTTCATTATTCTGGTATCAGAACACTTAATTTTCTGTATTATATTTATTAATATTCTCTCTTGTTTCAGAAAGTATTCCATGTGGCTTTAAGAATAATTTGCTTACTTAACATACTCAAGCTGACATAAGATAGAAGTCATCTAGGAAAAGGAAATCCTAGCAGAAAGTAAATTGCAAATTGTCCTCAGTCTATTTAGACTGATTTTTATGGCCTATATATAAAAATAAAACTCTGGGGATAATCTAACTCCATTTTACATATGTCAAGCATAACTCTTACATACTCTAAGAAAATTTATTTTTGTGTATATGAATGCCTTTTTTAAAAAAACCTGACATATTGCTTTATTCTTCAATAAGAATATTTTTAGGGTGTGAAATTATTACTGCTTGAATTTAATTTAATTAAGACTACTCCCCTCATCCCCTGCCGCTAAGGTATTATAACACTAGAAAGGCACAAATTAAGGATTATTCTTTATGAACACAAAATGGTGCTCATATTCCTTTGGTAAGTGCTAGACTCACCAATATGGAATTTGTAGTTTATTGACTTCAACCACTTTGTTTAACTCTCCACTTAGAGGAAAGTTTTACATCAGTTTTCTATGTTTTATCAAATGTCCTCATTTTTTTATACCTTTAGAATAGTTTTAAGTTGGATCAGGCTTTTAAATGTAAAGCCAGTTTTGTCCATTAAAGTTTATCAATATATTAATGCTATTATACAACAATATTAATAATACTAAGCAACCATTATTTAGGAAATAATTTAGGAAATAATTCAGGTCTTAAAACTGAATTTTCTTTTTTCTATTCAAAAAAAGGAAACTTTCTGTATGTACTATGCAGGCATCTGAAGCATTCTAATGCTTAAGAATTTAAAGCCTTTGGATTCTTCTCTCCAGAAAATGCAGAAAGGTTACTACAACACAAATACAAATGCTTGTGAAAGAAAGTTTGCATGTAATAAGTACTTGTTTTGGAGGTCAGTGAAAGAAGGCATTTCTTCACAGATTTTTTTTTTCTTTGCTGTGTAAATTCATGTTACTGAACAGTTTAAAGCATCTTTCTCTTTTCATCTTTGTTCACCAAAATTAGAATTTAACATGCTTGCAAATGTTGAAAACCTCCCCTTTTCAGTTCCATTATGCTGTGTAAACTGTTGCTTTTTTATTTTTTTAACATTTGTGGAGTAGGAAGTAAAGTTGGAAATACAATGCAAAAAAAAAAGGATCAAATTTAAAGAAACAATTTGAAAATAAATATTAACTATAATCTGAACACTGAAAGAAAATAAAAATTAGGTAACTTTTAAATTAATGTGTATTTAAGGTAAGTCCATTATTTGGGAGATAATAGCTGTCCTAAATATAAACTCAAACCAGCATTTATGCTTTTTTCCCATTTCCTTCTCTTCCTCTCCACATCCTTCTTTTCTTCCCTGCCTCCCTCCTCCCTTCCTACTTCTCTCTTTGCTTCTCTTGCTTGCTTCCTTCCTTCTTTCCTTTTTGTTTGTAGAATTGTGATTTTAGTAAAATAAATTACTGAGTCAAGTCTTGTTTTGTGAGTACTTGCAAATTGCTTTCTTGAGCCATATTGTCTTAAGCTGATCCAAAATCATAATCAAGATTTGTGCCAGTTTTGCTTTTTACACATTTCTCCACATCTCAGTTTGAAGAGGGTTATTGTAAGACACTGTCATTGTGTTTTCTAAGGATTCATTCTTCCACTGTTTTTCTTGTGCTTCCCAATTCTACACTGCCAGCCAATTATGGTGAAAATTGTTTTAATTTTTATTTGACAGATTCTTTCCTGTTTCCCCCTATGCTTGTTATTTTCTTTATCCCATGTGTCAAAGAT